CCACTAAGTTCAGTGGGCCTTTCTAGTCCTTCCTTTCCCTGACTTTTAATCAGGTCCTGATTTTGGCTGACTGCTTCTTTCATTTTAAAGCATTTCCCTCCTTAGGTTCTAGTACTGGTTATGATTCTGATAGTCATTGTGTGCCACTTGGTGTCCTTTTCCTGTGTTTTCCTCCATACAAGTGAAGTTCAGCTTGTGCCAGTGCCTTCTGTAAATTTTGTTTGGCTTCAGTGCCTGCAGCCATCCTCTTAGCTGTAAAGTTGCTGGAACTCACAGCTTTTAAGCTTGGTTCCATTTTTATTTCTTAAGTACCATGATATAGGACATACTTTACATACATTGTTAATTCTGACTGGTGTCCCACACAACTTGTACAGGTAGCAAACCCAGATGTAATGCCAGATGTAATATTAGTTTTATCTTTTTGGGGCAATTATTAAGTCTTACCCAACAGGATGATCTTGACCATCTGGATTATACCATAAGTTATTGAATTTTACATACTTTTTGTTCATGACCTTTGTTTTAAAACTATTTTAAACAACCATTTAAGAAATCTATACTAGTTTATTAAACACATGCTCAATTAAAGCATCATGAATATAAAAGCATAATTTATTAATATAGGTTGATTTTGAAAACTTCATTTTATTTATAAATTTGTACATGGGGAAGAAATAGAAATTAGCTATTCTGTTTCTTTTTTAATTTTTATTTATTTATTTATTTTTGGAACAAGGTCTTACTATGTAGCCTTGACTGGCCTGGAAATCATTGTGTAGTCCAGGCTGGCCTGAAACTCAGAGATCTTCTTGCTTTTGCTTCCTGAGTGCTGAAACTTAAGGCATGCACCACTGTACCTTTATCTCATTATTACCGTTCAAAGAGAAAAACAAATCTTTTTTTTTTTAAAGACTCGCCACTAATATACAAGATGTTATAAAGTAAAACTTTGTGTTTTATGTGACAGGCAATTGTGTCCAAAATTGTTTACAGAGGCAGTTTCTATAGATAAAGCTATGTTGGCTGCTGTGGTGATGCACGCCCATAATTCCTGCTACTCTGAAGGCTGATGCAGGAAGAGCAGCTACGCTGACTTCAGGAACAGCTTAGGCGGTATAGCAAGGCTTGATCTCGAAAGCAAGCAGCAAAAATCTGTCAGAAGTCATACAAGTTTTTATTTTTTTCTCCCCTCATAAGTTTTTAAAAACAGTTGAAACATGCCAAGTTCTTTTGAATTTGTTTTTAGATTTATATATTTTGTGTCTGTGTCTCCATGAGTGTGTTTGTGTGTGGACCATGTGCGTATTTGGCGCTCTTGGAATCCAGAAGAGGCCTCAGGTCTCCCAGAGCAGGAGTTGCAGATGCTTGTGAGCTGCCGTGTGGCGCTGGGAATTGAACCGGGGTCTCTGCAGGAGCAGCCGGTGCTCTTAACCATGAAGCAGCTCGCCAGCCCTGAAACATACTGAGTTGTTTTTGTAAGAAAATTGTTAATGTTTGCGATTTAAAGACTGTTTAAACATGAGAGGATTTTTGTCTTTATGCATTGCATTTTGCCTGAGTACCTCTGTTTTTTAAACTATGCATAAATTTTCATGTATTTTTATTTGATATCAGGATATATACATATCTGTTATGCTTTTCCCTTCTCTGGGATTTATTATGAGTATTTTCTACTGATAGCCTCTTCGTTTTATTCCTCTTCAGCTGCAGCCAATCTGATGCTAAATAATCTTATTTCAGTTACTTTATTACTGAGCTCTATATTTTTCACTTAATTCTTTTCATGGTTCCCAGTTATTTACTAGATTTTTCACTTTATTTTCTGTTTAAAAAAACAAACAACAACAACAAAAAAAACCCAGACTGTAGCCAGCATGTAAAATAATAGTTATTATAAAAATATTAACAAATACCCCAGGGGTATATATTATAAATTTGATGCTGGCCTGGTCTAAACAGTGATTTTTAAAAAAATTAAGATAGCTATTTTAAACTCCTACTCTTCTTAAAATCTGCTATTCACACACACACACACATATTTTATTCTGTCATCTGTTTAATAATTTTTGATAGACTACTGAGCATTGAAATGTAAAACACATAGGAAATAATTTTGGGCTGTGGGTTTTTGAGGGGGGAGGTTAAGAAAACAATTGTGGAATGACACTGGCACTTTATTTCTGTCTCATTAACCAAATCTGGGTTATATGGCCTGTTAAAGCGACTATTCCTGGCTATAAGGCTGGCAGTATCAGGTTTTGCTGCACTCATGAGTACACTTTCTATAAGACAGAGATTTGTTTTTTCTGTAATCCAAATCTATACAGTGATGAGATATGTAAGAAATTTTGTGTAAAAATAATCAGGGAACACTAATTTTTCTAAATTGTTCACATAGTTGCCCTTTTTTGAGACAATGATTGGCTATATAGTGTGTGCTGACCTTGTACTTGCCCGCTTTCTGCCTCAGCCTCCTGGGTGCCAGGACTACAGGTCACTATGCTCAGTGCTCAGTGTTTTTGCCTTTTTAACACTGAAAAGCAGCTTTGTGTAATTTAAATTTACATTCACTTTCTTTACTAAAGTCAGTGCAGTAATACTCAGTGTTTTGGTGGATACTGGTGTAGTAATTTGCACATAGATGTTTTCAGGTTAACATTACATACCGTATTAGTAATTGGTTTTGTAGTTGTTTGGTACAGGGTTCCCTGTGTAGCCCTGGCTACCCTAGAACTTACTCTGTAGACCAGGCTTGCCTTGAACTCAGAGATCTACCTGTCTCTCTTTCAAGTGCTGATATTAAAGGTGTACATCACCACTACCCAGCTGTAACTGTCTTTGTTTTTGTTTTTTTATAAACCAATTATTATCTTTTTATGAAAGTAGACAGTGAAGGCTGGCGAAATGCTTTGGGTTAAGCTTTTTGTGACACAAACCTGACAATCTGAGTTTTATCTCCAGAATCCATTTAAAGGTGGGAGGAGACACCATGGTGTGCCAGTGAGCACACACACACAATAATTAATTAATTAATTTTCGGTAAACAATTAGGTACTGTTAATTGTTTATAAATTATAATTTCCGCTGGACAGTGGTGGTGCACGCCTTTAATCCCAGCACTCAGGAGGCAGAGGCAGGTGGATCTCTGTGAGTTTGAGGCCAGCCTGGTCTGCAAGCGCTAATTCCAGGACAGGCATCAAAGCTGCAGAGAAACCTTGTCTCGAAAAAAACCACAAAAAATTATAATTTTCTTAATTTATAAACTGTCTTTCAGTTTTAGTGTTTCTTCCTAATAATATGTGTCTGTCTATTCTATCTTCAATATTTTCTTGACCAGGTTAACATACAGTTAGGTTATTAACTAATACCAAAGGAATGTTCTCTTGACCATTAGTAGGAATAATTAATATACTAGCTTGGTATGAGTCAATGATAATAATTCCTGGTAGAATTTCATTAAGTATCTTTTATTTCTAGGATTACGTACTGTGATTTTAGTTGTGAATACTTTTTCCCCTATATTTTAATGGTTTTTATTGGCTCAGAAGTACAGTAGATTCTAGACATCTTCTTAGAGATATTTGGAAGACTACAAAATGCGTGTGTTTTAAAATAGTGAAACTGCTTTAATATGCAGATGTTTGCTCATTTGTACAAACTGCCTTTCTGGATAAGTAACACACACGTGCTGGCTTGACAGAACATGTGACTTAAAGTTCCAGTTGAGTAATACTCGAAATTACTATGTAGTGTGGACCTTCAAGGCCAGTCTTGAAACACAGAGGTTGTGAATGCTAAATGCAGGAATGATGAAAGACATAGTTTGTAAGATATGTGATTATATATCGGTATGTGCCTAGATTTTTCCTGGATTGTTTCTCAGGTTAATTCCAACTCTACATAACTGCTGATTTTACTCATTGATGCCTTTTGTTTCTTTAGAACTTAATTTTCATGTTTTCTCATTCAGACCTTTGTTGTATTATGACTCATAACTATTCAGTATTTGTCACGTATTACTCATCTACCCCTGAACTTCATAGCTAATGGTCCTGTGATTCATTCTTGCAAGACAAGTCCCCATAAAGCAGTAAAGCTGATTCAGGTTAGATTCTTTGAACAGTTGTCTAAAAGGGTTCTGAAGAGAAGCCATAACTAGAGAGTAAATACCCTTCCTCTGATAAGATCACTCAGTTCACCAGCTGCTAGACATTATATCCCAAGAACCCCACTTGGCACTGTGAGAATTTGTCTTGTCAGCTGTTGGGGGTAGTGCAGCACTAATTGTTAAGTAGTTTAGAATTGCTCGTTGGCAGTGAAGGGAAAAGATAACCAATCTCTAGATTATGTTGTTGTTCCTAACTCTTTTCTTGAGGAAGCTGACAGCTTAAATTCCTTTAAACTTACTAAACTGTTTTAAACCCACCTCTTAACAGCTGTGTGTCAGAGAGAACTGTTTTATTCCAGTCCTTCTAGCAATGATTTTGCTCATGTATTGTTATTTATGTATCCCTGGTTTGTGAACTCCTAAGTAGTGACTCTGTCTTAGACGTCTGTTTGTTCCCCTCTGTTCCCATAGTACTCCCTAAGACAACAGATATTAAATTATCTTTAGTAATTGATAGAAGTAAGTTTTAAAAAATTGATTCTTGCTGTCTTTAATTTACTTTTACTGCTTTAGGAATTAATTTCTTTTTAATTTTTCTAAAAACATAAGTGCCATTTTTAAGGAAAAACTGGTCATTGAGGTATTTAAACATTTATTAAACAGGGCATAAAATTCATAAATTCTTGTGTGTTATATTTAATACAAGTATTAGACTGTTTTCTTTCAGAACTTTGATATATACATTGTTGGCTATTAGGCATTTAACAACTAAGTATGTGCAGAGCCATGTGAGAGTGGTTAGTGAATAATTAAATATGTGTGACAAAAGTACATTGTAATATTTTGATAGCAAAATAGACTGTTCAGTTTATGATTTTTTTTGTCATAGGGAAAAGTTCACCTTGAATTAAAACTGAATGAACTGATAACGGAGAATGGAACTGTGTGCCAGCAGCTCGTTGTGCAGTAAGCATTTCTTTTTTATTTTTATTTTTTTGCCTAAATTACTTAGAAATAATTCTCTATTTTACATTCTTAGACCAACTTATTATTTTAAATATTTCAGAAACTTCAAAATGAAACTCTCATCTAACATTTCTTTATCAAGCTGATAATACAGTTTATTTTTCATCTGGTCCACTCAGGTTATGGCAAGTCATTATGTATTCAACTTATTTTACTGATTGTCGGTTAAAGGACACATCTCTAATGTCATAGGCAAGAGCCTCTGACTTCCTAGCATTGGAGACTTGGAAACTGTTTCTAGAGGATATCTTTTTGAAGAACTCCAGACACCACACACACACACACACACACACACACACACACACACACACGACAAGACACTCTAGTGGATCCCCTAGAGTTGCCTGCATTTTTCCTGCAGATTTGGTATTCTTTATCATTCTTAATAGTCTGACTGCTCTGTAAAATTCCTGTTCTAGTCTAGTCTTCTATTTCTTTCCTCCCAATCAGATCTGTACCCTAGTTTATCAGCAAGCTACCAAGACTCCTTCATTCTGGAGCCCTGTTTCTTTTTCTCGGTTGATATCTGAATAACCCTGAAATTATCAGGTACACACCCATATACCTCAGGGCAAGGAAATAGAGAAGTTCTTACTTTCCTATTGCTGCTTCCAACTATAATTTAAATTAATTAAAACTATAATTTACTCTCCTAATGATGAAAACCAATTCTCAAGTCATTGCCTTTCTGTATTAGTCCATGCTGATATTACATATGATCTTAGATGTTTAATTTTTTCTGCTTTTATTTGCTGTCTTGATGCATAAATAATAAAAAGAGACTAAGAGATTGCCATGTGTGTATGAATTGCCAAAACAATATACCTATTACACCATTTTTCTAAGAATTTCATAATAGAAAGCTTTTAAATAGATTTAATAAGGACAGTAAAATTTACTTATGGTTTCTGTTCTATTGATTTTTCAACTATAGTTAACCTGTTAAAAATAGATCTAAACCAAGTATTGTGGTGCATGTCTTTAATCCTTGCACTCAGGAATTAGAGGAGGTGGATCCTTGTGAGTTTGAGGCAGCCAGGTCTACATTGAGATTCTAGGACAGCCAGGACTATATTGGCCCTTTCTCAACAGAAAAAGAAAAAGACATTCCAAGATTTGTTTGCAGATTTTACCCCTAGACTAACAGCCTACTTCCTTTCCTGCTTGAGTTTGGTTGTTATAGTCATTTGAAGTACTGTTAGTCAGATAGTTAGTTTATTTACATACCATTTTAGGTTTCTTAATTTAGTCCTTGTTGGCCTAGGTTTTTTTTTAGGTATATTTGTTTATTTTTATTTACTTAATGTGTGTTTATGTGGGTATATGTCACACATGTATAAGTGTTTGCAAAGGTCAGTGGTGTTGGACCCCTGAAGTTGGAGGCTGTTGTGAGCCACCTGGTATGTGTACCTGAAACATAACTGGCCCTCTAGAGGAGAATCAAGGGCTCTTTATTTGCTAAGCCATCTTTCTAGCTTCCTGGTTTTATTTTTGAGAATGTAAACTGTTAGCATAGTTTCAAAAGAAGAAATTATAACAAAAGGCATTCGTGGGCGTAATTCAATTCCCTCTTCCTCACACCCAGCTCTAGACAACCACAGTCTGATCTCTGTGTCTGTGGCTTTTTGCTTTTTCCTGAATGTCATTCGGATAGACTCATATAATACATGTAGTCTTTTGTGTCTGGCTTATTTTTACTTGGTATACTCCTTTTGATATTCATTCACATTGTTGACTATAATAGTAGTGAATCTTCTTTCGAATATTGTTTCCTGGTGCCAGGAACACACAGTTAAATTCTACCACTGAGACAAACTTTAAAACTCCAACCAGTTTTTTCCAGATAACTCAACCAATGCACATGCTGGTTAAATAAACGCAACTTCACACTCTTAAGTTTGGTGACTAGATTTCAATTTTGAGCATTTATTTAAAATTTTTTAAAAAGATTTATTTATTTATTATGTATACAACATTCTGCCTTCATTTTATGCCCACATACCAGAAGAGGGCACCAGATTTCATTACAGGTGGTTGTGAGCCACCATGTGGTTGCTGGGAATTGAACTCACAACCTCTGGAAGAGCAGCCAGTGCTCTTAACCACTGAGCCATCTCTCCAGCCCCTTAAAATATCTTTTTATCTTGATACAATAGATTTGCAGGAAGTTGTAAAGGTAGTGCAAAGAGGTCTTTGTGCTCTTCGCTCAATTTTCCGCAGTAGTTACATCCTACATGACTAAAGAAATTTGTACAGATAGCTTATAAAGCTTGATGCCCTTTTCTTGATTGTTGGGTTAAGGAGGATTGGATGCAATCCTTTCAAAGGACATTTTTAAGTCTAGATTACTCACCAATGGTGACTCACAACTTCATTTCTAGAGGGATCTGACACCCTCTTCTGACTTCCACAGGTACCAGACATGCAGGTAAACACTCACATATATAAGATAGAAATAAATGGCTAGTAGAATGAGGAAGTATCTAGGAATGCTAAGTATGTTAGCCTAAGTATGATTCACATTTGTATAATCTCAGAGAATCTCCCCATAAGGTTATCTTTTAGATACCACTTCACAGTAATGAGACATCTAATACCTCTTGATATTATGTACTGAAAAAGACACCAAGATATCTAATACCAGTCTGATCATGAGCAAATACCAGACAAACTCAGATTAAATAATACAAAAGCAGGTATCCCAGAGTGACAGAGACTAAGAGGACATGACACCTGAATGTAGTGTAGGATGTCATACTGCATCCCAGATCTTAGCAAAATTTGGGTGACATCTATAGATTAATTGGCATTAGTAACATTAAGTTAATGTTAGTTTCTTGATTACAATAGTTTTATATTGGTTAACACTGAGTACTGGGTTTACAGAAACTCTGTATGTTATCTTTACAACTATTCCAAAGTCTAAGATTGTTTGTACCTTGTACATTCAGCCTGTTTGTTTTGAATCTTAGTCTCTTATCTACTGTACTGTCATGTAACATTGCAGCCATACACATCTAAAGCTGAATTCTTTTATTCTCATGTTGGTTCAGCTCCTCTTCACTGTTTATGTCAGACCTTACATTTTTCTATCTCTAGACCTCCAGTTTTAAAACTTTTCTGTCTTTGTATGCTACAAAGTAAACATTTTAAGTGTCCTTGTTTACTCTTATATTTTCTGACATTTCCGCTTCTGTTTTAGTTGACTTTTTTTCTTTTCACAACAAGTCATATTTATTGACTATTTACATTGCAAGTGAAGTCACTAAATGCTCTGTATTCCTGGAATGTATTTGAGTTGTTCTGTAGGATCAGTTAAGTTCATTTTGATTATAATGTGCTTTTAAGCTTTGTCAAAGATAAATGAGACCAGCATATATCACAGAGCTGGTGGTAAGAGGCCCACCAGCCACAAAAGAATACTGGTAGTTGATCAATGATGCCTCATTGGTGGGAAAATATAAACGCTAGAATATTTCCTTGGTCTATGCTTTTTTGGTTAGTTTTAGAATTTTTTTTAAATAAGTTATTTCAATTTATTTTATGTGCATTGGTGTGAAGGTGTCAGATCCCTTGGAACTGGAGTTACGGACAGTTGTGAGCTGCTATGTAGTTGCTGGGAATTGAACCCTGGTCCTCTGAAAGAGCAGCCAGTGCTCTTAACCACTGAGCCATGTCTCTCTCCAGCCCTAGTTTCATAATTTTTAAATTTGACTTTTGATGCCCAGGTGGCAGATGTAAGTCTTATTTTCAGCTTTCTCTTTATGGCAGTGCTCCATTTGCAGTGAGTGAGTGTGGAAAGAAACTGGGGGTGTTGCTCTTTAGAAAGAAAAAAGAAAATGAAAAAAAAAAGCCACTTAGCCACATTCATGAGCTTCTGTTAGGCAGCAGGAAATGAAGACTTAGACATTAAACCAACCAACCAATAATTACTAAGAAACTTTGAGAATCGGATCATTAAATTGTTCTGTGCTTTCTGTAGATACAACTACAATCCATAAAATGGATTAGATGGCCTTGGTGTTTATAGTCTAGAACATTTTCTACGGAATGACGTGGGAGCTGATGCTGAGAATCATTAGGAAAGACTACAGATTGTGTGAAGCGTGCCCTGTATTTATGAATCAGATTTTAAGTAAAACCACAACCATTTCCTTGTGTGTCATTCATGCTTTAGCAGAGGATATGGTGCCATGGCACTGGCCTGGTTTGTAGTTTCTCATGCAAGGCTTCATGACTTTCTTTTCCTTTTTAGAAGCCACAGCAGTTTTGATATATTATCAAACCACAAATGTACCTTGGTATTTACCAGGAAGAATGTGGTATGGTAGTCTGAGTACTGACCGTGTCATTACTGTTTACTTCTCTTTGGGAAATAATCATGTAAATAAGCAAATATATCATTTGGAGTAGTTGGTGTATTGGAATTGCAAAAGCGGTAAAAGAGTTTAAGCCCTTTGAATATGCTGATTTCTACTTAATAGTAATGTTTTAGGGCTGAGAGTGAAGCTCAGTCACAGAGCACTTGCCCTGTACATGTGAATTTAGGGTGCTGTCCCCAGTCCATAAGAAGGCTAAGGGTGAAGGGAGATAATATGTTATGATGTTAACTTGACTCTAATAATTTAAAATCTCTTTTATTCTACCTTAGCATCAAGGCATGCCATGGATTGCCGCTCATAAATGGACAAAGTTGTGATCCTTATGCAACAGTTTCCCTAATTGGCCCTTCTAGGTAATGTTTATTGAATTGTTACTGGGTTTTCAAGTTTAAAGTTGGATTTAAGAGTTGTAAATATAAAGTTCTTAGATCAAATGCTAAGTAACTATGACATAAAATAATGCTTTAAAAGAAGATATTTCAGTAAATTTTAGTGTACACTTGGTAAACACCTAAGTTCTGTTTTTGTAGAAAGATTCTGGGTGTCATTTCAGATAAGTTATGTATTTACTAGACTATGGGAAAAACCTAAATTTTATATACTTGTAAATGTACTTTAAAATATATGCCTTGGGCCAGGCAATGGGGAGTATATGCCTTTAATTGTAGAACTTATGAGCAGAGGCAGGTAGATCTCTGTGGATCCGAGGTCACCCTTGTCTGCACGACAAGTTATAGGCCATCAGGGTCTAAAACAAAAACCTCAAGTTATATACACCTGACTGCCTGTATTCAAGCCCAGCCTATTGATGATAAGCCTTGAAATATACTGAAACTTAGCAGACTGTTCTTGTTTTCTGTTTAATGATTTCTACCCCATGAACAAATTCTTTTCTTCTTCTTCTTCTTCCTCCTCCTCCTCCTCCTCTTCTTCTTCTTCTTCCTCTTCTCCTCCTCCTCCTTCTCCTCCTCTCCCTCCTCCTCCTCCTCCTCCTCTTCCTCCTCTCCCTCCTCTCCCTCCTCTTCCTCCTTCTCCTCCTCCTCCTCCTCCTCGTTCTCTTTCTCCTCCTCCTTCTCTTTCTCTTCCTTTCCCCTCCTTCTTTCTTCTTTTTGCCTCAGACAGGCTTTCTTTATGTATCTCTGGCTGTCCTGGAATTTATTCTGTAGACCAGACTGGCTTTGAACTCAGAAAGATCTGCCGGCCTCTGCCTCCATAGTGCTGGGATTAAAGGCGTGCGCCACAGCCACTACCATCCAGCTTCTCATGAACACATTCTTTAATGGAACTTTTAAAGTCACATTTAGTAGAAACTTTTTTTAAAATCACAGTTGATTTTGCTTTTATGCTATAATCGCACAAGACACTCACATTAGATTGAGTCTGGCTAAAGATGCTAGACTCCCTGAACATTTACTCATAAATACCGTAGAATTTCTATATTCACTTGAGAATTAGTATTTGTTTGTTTAAGTTACTGTCATGGCTGCACCCCAGAAGTAAACTGAGTTAGGAGACATTTCCTGTTCCCCAGGTGTTTTCAACACCAGTAAAGGCACTTTGAGTCTCACTGCCTTTCTGCTTACCACTTTTTCTGCTTATGTAGTATGATGTGCTTAAAACTTTCAAAGAGAATGTGACAGTCAACCTCTCACAGCCATGGAGACGGTAATTCAATCTTGGCCTGTATAGATACATAAAACTTGTATCCTATGTATGGATATTCGATTTGAATTTGTGAGGACATACTGACTTTTGTCCCCTTACACAGTATGCAAACCATCGTCTTCCCTCAGTCATCCTAACATTTAGGCAAAGGTCAGGCTTCCTGGTTGGAAATAGCTTGTTTTATAATTGTGTACTGTTAAGTTCTACAAGGTAAAACTCTACCACATTGGAACAGGAATGACCAAAAGAAGACAAAAGTAAAGAAGAAAACAAGCAATCCGCAGTTTAATGAAATCTTTTATTTTGAGGTAATTTCTTGTTTTATATAAATATTCATATTTAATATAGAATTCTAGTTGATTTAATTTTGTAGATCACGACCATAGTAATTACTTTATCAGTTGTATTAATGTAACTAATACTTTCCGTCCAGAAAGTAGTACATCCATGGTGTAACACTGGAGCTCTGGGTGTTTGGAAGTGGGAAGGGCTAGAGCCACACCTGTCCAGTAGTCGTTCTCCTCGTCAGCCTCCTCCAGACCCTTCCTTCCCACACTCTCCAGTCCCCAGACACATAGCGACGCTTCTGAACAAACTGTTTTAAAATATCTAGAAAAACAAGCATTACCACTCAGAAGATCTGAAATCTTTTCCCAGTTGACTTTAATGAGGAACTAATCATGAAGCCTGCATTTCATATCTTGTGAAAGGGCAGTTTTCTAAAGGAAAATATTAACAAATGTGCCAAATACAAGACTCTTTTGAGAGTATGAAGCACTTCCTGATAGACCTTTATATCATTAAATTCTTCTTAATCTAATTTATTCTGTGGATATTTCTTGTTCAAGAAGATATTCAGATGCCTTGAGCAAATCCTAACCACTAGACCACCAAGGTGCATCATTAGCTGCCTTGAAATTGTCCCAAATACAGTGCTTTGACATTCTTTCAAGTATTTATTAAATTCTTTTTCATATTAATTGAAGACTAGAAAAATTTAAAAATCAAAATCTCTAAAAGATTGTGTAATAACAGAATGAGTTGCAGTTAATATTAATATGTGAGAACAATTTATAGGTAGTTACATCTTAAAGTTTTTCTTTTGTATTTTTTCTTCTGTTTTGGAGAGGATGCCAGAGTGCCCCTACTCATGCCTGATTACTGTAAGAAAATACCAAAGATGAAATAGGAGATGGGGGTGGGGTGGGGTTAGAAGCAAAGGAAAAGGAAAACATGCTAATGCAAGAGACTCCCTTTCCTGGAGGACTTGCAGTTTTCTGCGTTATTAATGGCTGTTATGTCCAACCATGAGAACATGAAGAAGATTGCAATTTTTAAAAAACTGCTTCCAAAGTTACTATCTTTTGCACGTTGTTCACACCTCTGATGAGTTGAAGTTCACTATACATAGGGTCTCATAACAAGCAAGTAACTTTTTGAAGGTCAGGGTCAGATCTGCTCGCCATAATAATTTACCTGTCAGGCCTTGAAACATTTATTCATTGAGCCCTTTGTTAGACAGGTTATAAAGATAGATATATTTGGCAAAACCAGAGCAAGACATAAGAAAACACACACAGATGTACATATATACAGCTGTAATGTGCAGCACATACTGCTTGAGCTCAGCATCGAAACAGTCCAGAGAAAGAGCAGTTTTCCCTGAGTACAGAGAGAATATTCCAGAGAAAGAACATTTCAGGCACAGAGACAGAAAAACTGAAAGTTATGTCCAAAGAACATCTGGATAATAATTTAACCAAGTTTAATAAGAAAATAGCCAAAATTAAAAATTAAAAAGATGGAGGTGGGAGAGATGGCTCAGCGGTTAAGAGCACTGGCTGCTCTTCCAGAGGACCTGGGTTCAGTTCCCAGCACCCACATAGCAGCCCACAGCTGTCTGTAACTTCAGTTCCAGGCTTCTGACATCCTTACACAGACATACATGCATGTAAAACACCAATGAACATTAAATAAAAATAAATTATTTTACTCCCTCCCCTCAAAAAAAAAAAAAAAAAGAATAGAAAGACAGGATAAGCTGATGAATGAGATCTTCCAGCACCAGGATGGAGGTGCTTTAATTGTAGTCATGGACTATCCCTGAGCCTGGAAAGAAGTAGCTGTGATCTGTCAGCAGGTGCCTAAAAACTCGTGGTTTCAGTGTTCAAACAGCTCAGAGAAGAAAGATACTGCAGGTCAAGATAATTGGTTATAGGAGGAAAATGGGAAAGAAATTAGAAGTACCTGAGGACCATGTAAAAACCTTTCACTAGGCCTCAGATGTGGTGCATGCCTGTGATCCCAATCCTTGACAGACAGAAAAATCAGAATTTCAAGGTCAGTCTCAACTACATAGTGAGCCTTAGAAACAAATAACATCTCCTATTGGGACAGTTCGTTATTGAAATATGATAGGTGATAACTATAGATCACAATATAAGATTTGCGGTCAGACGGTGGTGGCGCATACCTTCGATCCCAGAACTTGGGATTGAAGAAGGCAGAAGCAGGCAGATCTCTGTGAGTTCAAGGCCAGCGTGGTCTATAAAGAGAGTTTCAGGACAGCCAGGGCTATCCAAACGAAAAGAAAGAAAAAAAGAAAAAAAAAAACACAATACAAGATTTGGCACAGAGCCAGGAAAGCCCAGGGAGTGAAGAGATGCATCAGAGAAGAAAACGAAAGACGCTTTGCACTAACTATTCAGCTTCTAAGTGCTGCTTAAGTTTTGTTCTGTAGCCTCCTCATTTTCAGGCAGGATAGTAAATCTAGCCCCGGCTGCCTCAAAGAGATGGTGGACATGATAACACTTTGTAAGTCAGGCAACACCGTGTATCTTTAAGTTGTTTTTAGAATGATAGAAACAGAATGGCACCTGTGTAGATTCTGAGGGAGAAAAGAGAGTAGCAAGAGGTGGCAGGATAATCCTTGGGTAAGCTCAAAGCAAAGAGCTCTTCTGGAACAGATAGAGGGACACTAAGGAATGTCAGTAGACTACAGGTTTGGTGATGGAGAGAGATTTTACAAGGGTGCCTTGTAAGGAAGCTGGTGATAAAGTCGTCACTGTCCTGAGTGGGTGGTGAGGAAGTAAAGGAATTAATTACTTTTAAGGTAGTTGTCTGAAAAAGGAGACAGGAGGACTATGATATAAGAGGAAAAGTTTTCTTAGACTAGAAGCTGTAATTAAGATAGATACATACTTATAGCACATACTTAAAATACACTGGGGGAAGGAGCTGGCTTGGAGGAGGTAGTCTTAGAAAAAAACTCTAGTAGAGAGAGGCCTGAGGTGGAAAGTGAATGTTCAGCTGGAAGTTTCTGTCCGGTAGCCTTGATGTTTTCAGCAAAAATGTGAGAAGGAATTAAGAGTAGGGTGGTATGCTGTGAGAAAGGTAGGGAAGACCTGAGGTGGTTTTAGAAGTGTAGCCCTTTGAACACAGTGTTTTCCTCTTTCTGTTGCTGTCAGACACTGGGAACCAGATGCTGCTGCAAGCAGAGTTGATAGAAGTGCTGGGGAGGCAAGGATGCCTGCAACTTGTGTGCCATCCTCCCTTAGCTCCCTGGTGCCTCGTTAGTGCACTTGCCATGCTTTGGAAAATTGCTTCCACTCTTGACTCTTTCTATATTTGCAGTTAAATATTTGGGAATTTTCATTTTTTAACTCATGATAGAAAAAGATGCTTTAAAATATTTTTTACTAAAATATTTTTGTTTATAGGTAACCAGATCCAGTAGTTATACCAGGAAATCCCAGTTCCAAGTAGAAGAAGAGGACATTGAAAAATTGGAAATCAGGTGTGTGTCTTGTGTTTTTCCTAGAGAACTAATTTTTCCTGTGTGAACTTTGATAGAATACTCTCTAGCACATTGGTAGAAGAAACTTAGAGAAACAGACATCTAATTTAATCCAAATTATCTTTTCAAAATCTGATTTCTTTTCAGAAATACCAAAGTATATTTCTTGTGAGAGCAAAGACAACCTAATTTCACCTATTCTGTTTTCCATTTTCTCTTAATTTAATTGTTCCTTAACTATCTGGTTATAGTATAATGAATGGAAAAGCAATTATATTTAAGCCAATTTAGAAATAATTTTTTTATTCTTCTTAACATATCTGCTGACTATCAGAAATTTCAGTGAGGTAAGGAGATAACGCCACAGGTGCATGTGTTTGAAGTTTGTGATATTTCCTAGGTCTTAAATAAATATCTATGCTGTTTTGGAAAGGAAACTTTGTCAAATGCATGTGTAGGTGTGATGTTAACAGTGTGTTACCTAAAGGCACATTAATCATGTGTTCACAGTGGTAGGCAATGTTTTTCTAAGTCACCAGCCTTTACATATTAATTATCTTCAGAAGAGAAACTGTACTCTTATATTGGTTTGTTTTTTCAAACTCAGTTAAGTAACTGTTTTGTCCTTACTGCTACAGATTAAAGAAAAAACAAACTTAGAAAACCTAAGTTTCTCTTTCTATATTATTTAAAGTGTGACGAGGGAGATGGCTAAGCTGGTACAGGCACTTGTTGCCAAGCCATTCTACCTGAGTTCTATCCCTGGTACCCACACACGATGAAAGGAAAATTCCAAGTCCTGTAAATTGTTCCCTGAGCTTCACATGTACTCAGCGGCATGTGCCCACCCCCCCAAATTAATAAATAGAAATGTAATTTAGAATTTAAATTGTGATTTTCCAATAAAAGTTACTGTAGTACTTTGCTTTCAGAGTCTGGATAATGAAGTATATGACGATGCTAACATCTCTTTTAAGCATGTAAAATTAATGCTACAGTACACATCAAAAACACTTCAAACTCTTCAGCATGGCTCACAAAGACTGAAGCTAGGTTTTCAATTTTCAGGGTTGATTTGTGGAATAATGAAAACCTAGTCCAAGATGTTTTCCTGGGTGAAATTAAGGTTCCTGTGAGTGTGTTAAGAAACGATTCCTCTCATCAAGCCTGGTAAGAAGACATATGCTCTCATGAACTAAAGACACCCTAATAATGTCCTTTAATAAAGATGTATGCTTGCTGGGAGTAAGTCAAAAGTTACATTAATTTGGTTATGAATTTGTTATTAGAGAAAAATAAGTACTTTAATCGTTAATGATATTTGGTCTGTGATATTGATGTAAAAGAACTTAGTTATCTAGGAATATTTTTCTGTTTAAAGATGAGATCTCAGGGCTGTAGAAACGGGTGAGCTCGCTGCTCTATCTGGACTGCATTTGCGTTTCAGATCCTAGCACATTTCTAGGACCACTCACAAAGAAATGGCTTTAACTTTAGCTCCAAAGAATCCAGTGCTCACTTTGGTGTTGATGGGTGCCTGTACGTACACTCATAGACACACAGACACACACACACTAAAAATAAAAATGAAATATTAAATCTAAGAAACTGAAAACCATTAGCCATCTCATGAACCACTTACGAGAAGATGCTTGTTCACAAGTCATCATATGTAGTTTAGATCTTTGGCATTTTGGTCACGGAAACTATGGCTGAGAACCAGACGACTCAGACATGCAGTTGTTTGTGGGGAGTGGCGTATGATTTTCCTTCAGCACATACTATTAAGGATGCAGATAACCGTGATGAGTGTGGAGTGTTGTCATTGAACTGATCAACTGCTTAGGAGCTCTGGGAGCTCAGTATTGACTATAGTTTTATTTGACCTTTTCATGACTCTAGTAGTGATACTAAATTGATGTTATTAAACTTAATGTTCAGACATTAAATTCATACTTACTTCAGTGTGAAACTTTTTGCCTGTCTGTAGCCCTTTAAAACTAGTGTATCCTGCCCCTTTGTGTACCTTTGCCAGTGTCTCTTCCTAGATTGGTGTTCAATTGAGTATGTAGAAACATACCTTTCTCAATTATCGTGTGTGTGTTGGAGGTGCTTGTTCATGTGGTTATGTTCGCATATAGGTGTGCATGTAAAGAACGGAGCTTGACACTGGGTATCTTCACCAAAAGGACTTTTGAATTGTAGCGCACTGATTAGCGAGGCTGGCCGGTCAGTGAGCTCCAGGGATCCACCTGTCTTTACCTCCCCTGAGCAAGGATTACAAGTGTGCATACTACTAAGTGTAACATGAGGGCTGACTTGCTTGTTGGAGTTTCTGTCCCACAGCCGGCAACTCCCAAGGAAAATCACACACAGGACTCCATAAGGTTATAAACTGATTGGCCCATTAGGTCAGACTTATTAGCTCTTATAACTTATGTTACCCCATTATCCTTATCTACATTAGCACATGGCTCAGTACCTTTTCCAGTGGGGCAGCTTACATCTTTCCTCTCCGGTGGTCTGGGCAGAACTGCGGAGGGAGCTTCCTGCTTTCCAGAATACTCCCAGTCTCTTTGCTCCACCTCCACTTCCTGTCTGGCTTTCCCGCCTATACTGCCTGCCTGGCCAATCAGCGTTTTATTAAAATATGATTGACAGAATACAGACAATTCTCCCACACCAACTAAGCCCAGCTTTTACATGGGTGCTGGGAATTCAAACTCAGGTCCTCATGCTTACATAGCAAGCACTTTATCAAGCCATCTGTCCAACTTCTGTCACTTCCCTTTAAAGATCACTTTTTAACATGAAATGTAGTATTTGTGCTTGCTTACATGTATATAATGTGTAATGATCAAGTCTCAGCATTCCATCTCAAATATCATTTCTGTGTGTTGGGAAACTAATTATGCTAAAATGAGGCTGGAGAGATGGATCAGAGGTTAAGAGCACTGGCTGCTCTTCCAGAGGTCCTGAGTTCAATTCCCAGCAACCACATGGTGGCTCACAACCATCTGGCTACAGGCATACATGGAGACAGAATACTGTATGCATAATAAATAAATCTTTAAGGGAAGACCATGCTAAAATGTAATATCAGGTGTTGTAGACCATCATTACTAACCTATTAGCTATTAGGTTATAAACTTGGGAGCTGCTACTCCCACAGCTGCATTTAGAGCCTACTCTCTACCTTTTCTCCACCCCTTCTCCCCTCCAGCTTTCTAGTAATTCTGCTTTCTTATGTAGATCAACTTTAGCTTTCACAAATGAATAGTAACTTGTGGCCTTTATCTTTCTCTGCCTATTGCATATGATAAAATGACCTCCAGTTCCAGACGGATTACCACAAATGCTAGGATTTTACCCTTTGATAGAAAAATGTCTGTTGATGAGTGAATGGATTTAGATGATGTGGTGTGTACACACTGTGGAATGTTAGCCGTGAGAACCACTTTTTAGAACTCAGTTTCTGCTGCCTGGAAGAGAGGTTGACATTTGAGAACCTAAGGATTGATTTTGTTGTTTCGATTTTTGTTGTTCTGTTTCCCAAGAGTTTCCATTCAGTATGAATCCTTGACTGGCCTGGACCTTGCTATGTAGACCATGCTGACCTTGAACTCAAAGATTTGCCTGTCTCTGCCTTCTGAGTTCTGACATTGAAGGTGTGCACCACCATGGCTGATACTAAGAATTCCAATATTTCTTTTTGGTCTCACTTGCCTTTAAAAGAACCTGCCTCTTTGTCTAGCCGTTGGCACTTCTCATTTGGATTATGCTATCTCATAGTTTCCCTTAAAGACTGCATTTAGACTTTTTAAATTTTATTTTTAACTCCTCTAGAGCAGATCTAAGATGTATTGGTCTCTTCTAATGACATTTTGTATAATTTCTAAATACATCCGGGGGGGGGAATGACTTTATCATTAAGAAAAATATATCAGTGTTTACCCCCTCCATATGCCATACTTTCTTGCATCTCCATGAAAATTTCTGATCTCAGTTTTTAAGCCTTTAAAGTAATATTCCATACATTTTAGTACAGAAGAGAAAAATGAGTCATTGTATCGCCCTGGGCCCACCAAAATTTACTAGAAATCTGCCCCATATCATGTACTTTCAATGACACTGTCTCTTGATACACTTTGCAAATTTGACAAAACTCTCTACCTTGATAGACTACGGAATATTAACAGACAGTAAGTAATTTTAATTTCTTTTGTCAATAGTATAAATATTTTATGTGCACTTAAATACTGGTGTATTTGAGGCCAGAATTGTTGGATCCTCTGGAACTGGAATTACAGGTAGTTGTAGCTGCCAGATATGGGTGCTAAGAATTGAACTCAAGTCCCTTGCAATGATCTTAACCACTGAGCCATTTCTCCAGCTCCCAATGATACGAATATTTTAGTCTGTCAGAAGCATAAATGCCAAAACTTATGTAGCATAAAAGAATAGAATCTGTTAGTCTGTGTGTATAATGTACATTGCGGGGAAATACAAAAATAGTAATGCCTTTTTATTTTAGCTCAGGGTGGTTTGTTGCCTTCATCACTTGTGGAGCTGTAGCATCCTCTAGTGGGGCTAGTGGTAACTGCATGAAAACACCATAATTATTTCTAATTTTGATCATGCAAACGGTCACATAGATAGTAATATTGTTTGAAGCTTTTCTATTTTCTTTTTTTCCGATAATTTCTATTAGTGTTTGCCTATTACATTGGACTTCTAAAAACTGGTTTTTAATGGTTTCAATTTATTTTTTTAAGATTTTTATTTTATGTGTATAAGTGTTTTGCCTGCATGTATGTGCGTGTACTACATGTGTACCTGGTGCTTGTGGAGGTCAGAAGAGGGTGTCAGATGCCCTGGCGCTGGAGTTACAGATTATTGCGAGTCACCATGTGGGTGCTAGGAGTCAATCCCAAGGCCCTCTGCAAAAGCAGCAAGTGTTTTTAACTGCTGTGCCATTTCTCTAGATTGTAACATGACTCAATCACTTTTCCCTTTCTTTTTAAATTTTTTTGTTACATTTATCTATTTACTTATCTTTGTGTGTCCATGTCCGGGTATGTCCGTGTATGTGTCTGTGTGTGTGTAGCATGTGAACTCCTATGGGAATTGTTGCTCTGTTTCCATCATCTGGCTTCTGGGTATCAAACTAAGGTTGTCAGCTGTGTATCTCTCTAGTTGGGAGAATAGAGCCTAAAAATGAAACAAGACTAAAGTCTCATGCAGTAACCAACACCAGTCAGAGCATGAAGCAATTTATACTCTGATGATAAAGAAGAATCACCTGAGTAAAGTTTACAGTCACAAGGACAAGCTGCATGTGGCAAACAACCATATTTTTTCATAGACGCTTAAAAAAGAATAACAGCCAGTTGTGATGAGTGATCAAAGAAAACTCACTCTTACCCACTACACCTGGGAGGAGCATGAAAACACATTCTAAGAACAATTCCCTGGTTTTGTTTGTTTGTTTAAGAAATTGAGGTCAGAAGACTCTTGCAGTTTTCTCACAAGCACTCAGAATTTCCCTCCCATGATTCCATTCTTAGACCATGTTCTGACGGTCAGCAAGTGCTCTTACCTACTGAACCATCTTGGCAGCCTCCCCCTCTTTTTTTCTTAGTGAGTTACCTCCTTAACCTCCTTTTTGTTTTGGTTTTGTTTTGTTTAAATGGTGATAGTTAAGTCACATGTTAGCTTTGTCTTGTTCGTGTTGATACTAGCTAATTTTCACTTTTCACTGTGTAGATAATAGAATTTGATTTGATTTGAGTGGGTGACGGTGGCAATGGTTTCTTGAGACATGGTTTCTCTGTCTAACAGTTATGGCTGTCCTGGAACTCTCTCTGTAGACCAGGCTGGCCTCAAACTCACAGAGATTGCTTGCCTCTGCCTCTTGAAGGTTTTGTGCCACTGCCACCTGGCCATTTTTTTTTTAAATAGGCAATGTACTCAAAACCATTTCTAGATAAAAAGATTCAGAAGAGAATCCTGCCTTCTGCCCCTCTCAGCTTCTCAACTAGGTCCTTTTTGTGATCTAGCCACTGTTCCCTAGTTTCTGGGAATATTTTCTGCATATATAGGCAAATACATGTGTATAGTTTTCATTGATTTATTTGTTTTGTTTTATTGAAACTAGGTAGCCTAGGTTGACCTGGAACTCAGAATCCTCCTGCATTAGCCTCCCAAGTGCACACACTACCACACCCACCTGTACATGCTTCTATTTCTACTTAACAACATACTAGAACATATAAATATGTGATGACTCTAGATAGTGGTTATGATCGTGTATTCCAGAATCGAACTGCTTAGTTTAAATCCCATCGTTGCCAATAATTCCTCTATGTATGTACTTTGTTGACGTGCTGGAGATTGAATGTGATGAGAACATATTTCACCACTCAACTTCACTCCTAGCCCCTGTTTATTTTTCAGTAGATCACCTGTTTGTTTATCTCACTTGCTTGTTTCTCATTACCATCACTTGGAGTTGACACTGTTTTTACTTTAGGTACTTGCTACAACCAAGAGACAATGGAAACAAGTCATCTAAAACTGATGACCTGGGATCTCTTCGGTTAACTCTGTGTTATACAGAAGACTATGTGCTTCCATCAGAATACTATGATCCCTTGAAAACTCTGCTGCTAAAATCACCAGATGTTCAGGTATTTTAGAAATCTTACATCTATGACTCAATGTGAAAGGAAACTAATCCTGTAAATGATGAAGAAAAGATTTCATAATGTCAGTGCTTAAAAAGCTCTGTGTATTTAATGTCTCTGAGCCAGAGTTCTGATTTGTGCTTCACATTTTATATCTGATTAGAATTTAGAAAACTAAATACTATTTTATACATGAGTTGTAATTAAAGAGTGTATTTAAATTACATCCACAGACTAATCATGTAGCCCTGCTTTTTTGATTCTGTGCTTGTTCTCTACCATTCTGTATCCTAGCCAGTATCTGCCTCAGCTGCTTATATTTTGGGTGAAATATGTCAAGATCAAAAGGATGCTGTTTTGCCTCTTGTTCGACTATTGCTACATCACAATAAACTAGTTCCTTTTATCACTGCGGTGGCTGAACTGGACTTGAAGGATACCCAGTAAGAATTGTAATCATCAAATGTTAATTATGTGTTGTTAAAATTGAACTTTAATTTGCCAGATTGTTTTTATAGTCTGTTTTTGTGTGTGTATGTGTGTTGACCAAGTTTACTATAGAGCAGGTGAAAAAGAACTCCCTAGTCAGTAACAAAAGACAGTTCTTAAAGTTAACCAAACAGAATCCAACGACAGTAAGGACCAGTTAATAAGGGAATGTGTTTAATTCCGTCGTACGGTTTCCTTTGGTACTGTTACTGATCTTTGCTTCTGGATCCAGTGGTTCACGTTCCACAAGTCAGATAGTAAGAGCGCTTTATACGGCACACATAGGACAATATAAAGAGCAATCAGATGGCTTTCCATTCCCACCATAGTAAAACAACACCCTCATTTTCTGTACCCATACCTACATTATATTTTTTATTTCATAGTTTCTTTTTTAATCTGATATTATCATTTTCAGAAAGTAGTTTTGATAATTTTAGAAACACTTAATGTCAGCAAATTTTCCTGTTAGTAATAAAAATTACAATTGTATGTATAATCAAAGTCAAAATGTTACTATTTTAAAACTTTTTCTTTCCTTTTTGCTGTGTTTGATTTTTATATCTTTCTATTTCTATTTCAGAGATGCAAGCACAATTTTTAGAGGAAATTCCCTGGCAACTCGGTGTCTGGATGAGATGATGAAAATAGTGGGAAGGCACTACTTGAAAGTCACGTTAAAGCCTGTTCTAGACGAGGTACAGAGAATGCCTCATTGCCAGAGTCTGACCATCTGAACAGTGGTTCTCAACCTGTGGGTCAAACCACCCTTTCTCAGGGGCCTCCTAAGACCATCTGCACATCAGAGAGTTGCATTGCGATTCATAAAGTAGCAAAATTATAGTTATGAAGTAGCAACAAGAATGATTTTATGGCTGGGGGGGGTCCCCACAGCATGAGGAACAACTATATTAAAGGATCTCAGCATAAAGAAGGTTGAGAACTACTGCTTCTCTTTCAAGAAGTAATGTGTTGATTAGAAGGATCTGACCATTCATGAGCTACTGAAGGAATAAGGATAGACACTTTATAAGTAAATTACTTTGTCATCTGTGGATTTTTACTCACAAGACACATCAATCTACATTATTATTCCTTATATTTTTACTGTGGTGTTAAACAATTTTGATACCGTTCTTCAGAATGTTGTCTATATTGTACATTTACCTTCAGGTGGGGGCTTTAAACTTTGTTGGATTTAATTTTTATATTATCAGAAAAAAATTACTTTCATGTTGTCAAATTACCTAGGAAAGTACAAAACTGAAAAATACATGTATTTTCCAGATATGTGAATCCTCGAAATCCTGTGAAATAGATCCTATTAAGTTGAAAGAAGGAGATAATGTAGAAAATAATAAGGTAAGTTTCTATGCTGTAGTTTATAACTCCATTGTTTTTTTTATTTTAATGTTATACCTAACTCCCATAAATGGTTTGTTTTATGTGTATAAGTGTTTTGCCTGTGTGTATGCTGTGCACCACGTGTATGAATGGTACCTATGGAGGTCAGAAGATGGTACTGGATCATCTGAAAATAGAGGTGTAGATGGTTGTGAGCCACCACATTGGTGCTGAAAATCAAACCCAGATCCTCTGCAAGAACATAAATGTTCTTAACCACTTAGCCATTAATCTACCCCATTCCCCCCCCCATACACACACTCTTAAAATTTAATAATTTCATGTGTCTGGAAACAATGTTATTTATTCTTTACATTCTTCATTTTTCAGAACATTTTCTAGTATTGATTTTACCTTATTTTATTCTTAAGCTTTTTAACTTTGCATTTTTAATTATGTCTAGTGTTTAGAGGTAATATGTATGGATGTGTGCACATAAATGCAGATGCCAACAGAAGCCTGAAGAGGTCTTCGGGTCTTCTGGAACTGGAGTTACAGGCAGTTGTGAGCTGCCTAATATGGGTGCTGGGAATTGAACTCTGGTTCTCTGGAAGCTAATCTTTTGTTAGCATATATTATAGATAATAATCAGTTGTGTTACATTTTCATACATGTATATAAGGTATTTTGATCATGTTAACCCCCTTTTATCCTCTTTTGTTCCCTCTTCTACTGATCGATTTCCTCTTTCCAACTAGTCTTCCACTTCAACTTTTCTTTCTTATTTTTCAATTTGGGTATATTCATGTGAGAGTACAGGTGCTGTGGAAGCCAGAGTCCTTGAATTTCCTTGAGCTGTTATAGGCAGAGGTGAGCTGCCTGGCGTGGGTGCTGAGAACCTAAGCGCCTCTGTGCAAGAGCAGTATATGTTCTTACCTGCTGAGCCTCTCTAACTACCCTGTTTTCTTTTTTAATTTTTGTTTTAATTATTGACCCTTCTGCTTTTCTACTTTCGTGTGTGTGTGTGTGTGTGTGTACATTTAAGTGCATGTATATCCTAGTAAGTTTACTTAGGGACAAGAAGTGAGGAGTTAATTACAGTAGCATAGACAATTTATCAATAGTTACACCACCAAAAAAAAAAAATTCTACCTCCCCCAGCAACCAGTTACTGCTTGTAGATCCTCAGTGATAGGCAGGGACTTATAAGCCCTGTCCCTACTCCATGACAGATAGTAGATGGGCCTGAGTTTACATAAGTCTTGTTCTGATGGTCATAACTACTGAGAATTCAAGAGTGCAGTGGTCATGTAGTGCTTAAACTGTTATGGGAAGGTCACTCTTTCTCCTAGATTCTTTTTGTCCTTTTTCAGTCATGGTCCCTGAACCTTGAGAGAGGGGAAGGTGTTATAGATGGCCCATTTAAGGTTGAGCACACAGCCGTCACGTACTCTCAGCACTCTGAGCCTCTGCAGTGGTTGCCACCTACTGCAAAAAGAAGCTTCTTTGACCAAAGCCAAGAACATCACTAATCTATGAACTTAACATAAATATTTAGAAGACAATTTGATAAGCATATCCATCTAGCAAATCAGCAGCAGTAGCTTCCCCACTACATAGCTACCCTTATCCCAGCCATGAGTTTTTGAACAGGTTTACAGTGTCAAATGAGAATTCCCTCCTGTGAAGCAGGCCGCAGATCCAAATCAGAAAGTGCTTGTTTATCCCCCAAACACTGGTACCCCTGTTGCCTGGAAGGTTAGTAGTGCAGGATATAGGGTTGCAGCTCAGTAAGTTCTTAATGACAGTTCTCGTTAGCAGCCTGCACTATATCTTCTAACAGTGTGAGGTCTAGATAGCAGGGAGAACATTTCTAGACCAGAGCACATGATATCTTCAGCAGTAGGGTCTTACCTCTAGTTCTAGTGAGCAACCAGCAGTAGGGGCAATAGTCTATAATAATAATGGATTTAAACTGCCACTAGTTGCAACCTCCATTCTGACTATTCCTTTCAGGTCAGACTCATCAGCCTAAATGACATAATGATTTTAGTTGCCTCTGAGAAAACTATAATTGTGTGGGAGTCACAGGTTTTCACAGTAGTGTGGCTGTGTTACTGCCTATCATGAGTTCTTTCCCTGTTTTTCTTTTTTATTATTTTGTTTACCATGCTTCTTGTGAAAATTACTCATATACCCACCTGTCTAGAAAGTCTGAATTTATTAAATTAAGTCAGGGTGTTGATTGCCCTTTTAACTCAATGAACTTGGAGAATGGAAACAGGGCCTTAGAATACTAGGTTGTCATTGTCTAATAAATCTCATATCCATTACTTTTTTCATAAAGATTATTGAAGATGTGTGAAAGTCAAAATCTTAGTGTTTACTTTGTTAAACCCTGCAGGAGAATCTGCACTACTATGTGGACAAAGTATTCAATACAATTGTAGGATCAAGTGTGAGCTGCCCCACTGTGATGTGTGATATCTTTTATTCTCTGAGGCAAATGGCTACTAAGAGATTTCCTAGTAAGTGCCATGATATTCTCAATTACATCATCTCTTTTTCTATATTTTTTCCTACATGATGTCCATGTGGTCTGTATGAAATGTTTGTGCATAGGCCCAGTCTTCTAGAAGTTTTCCAAAATGATGCTACCTTTTTTGAGAGACTTACTGGCTTACTTTTCCTATAATCTCAAAACATACAATCCATTTTATTTCAGTATAATGACAACTTTATATAAAGAGCAAATCAGAATCATTAGTTTTTAAGAAGGAAAATTTGGATCTGTAAGATTTTCTGCAATATGTCAGTAATGTGCTGTATATTAGGAAGCTGTGGGACCACAGGAGCTCCTTTGTTGTTCCCGCTGCTTCCCCAGGTGCATGGATTCAAGCAGTAATAGCCATTGGTTTCGCACAGCTGAATAGATTTGACAGCCTGGGAGTGCTAAGATGTCTGTGGTGAGATTTTTTTTTAAAAAAATAGTCCTGGACTTTACAAACACTTGTTCCAATGCACATAAGATTTTGAGGTACATATAGCAAGAAATCATTATGTTTAATTTTGCAAAATTAGGTATATTAAGATTTTTATTGGAAAGAATTTATAAAGTTATGAATTACTACGTCTTATTATTAGTACTTAGTTCATTTCTGTTACATAAATAAATTTGCCAAAGCCCATTGCAGATTTGCCCATAACAGAGGGGGGAGACATAGACAAGGCAGCTACTTATTAATAGCCAGGTTTATTTATCTGTATAAAACTGTAAATTAACTTTTTTAACCATCCAAAGAGATTTTGTTACTATGTTTGCATGTATATGTCCCTCTGTTTAATTTACCCAATACTAAGACAGTATGACTGAGTTGTCTAGCTTATACATGAATTCAGGTTTAGGTGTCTTGGCTAACTATAATAAAGATATAAAACATTTGGATTTAAATAAATGTCTTTAACCTTTGTAATCATGGAGAAAGCAGAGACCTGATCCTACATATATACAGATGAAGTGCTGATTAGGTTCTATCTTAAAGTAGTGAGCTAGGTCATAACCACAATACCCCCTTGCTAGCCTGTCTTGTTTTTTACTCCTAACACTGTTTGAGGCCATTACCCATTGATTAGATAATGAAACTTGAGGTTTCATTTGTTCTTAGTACCTGGAATATAGATAGCAGGGCAAGCAGTCGGTAGGAAACAAGTGCCATTGCAGTGGACAACTGGTGATGTTCCCTACTGAGTGATTTGTTAGAGCTAAAAGTCAGCGTCAAATTCGGACGCTCTTTCTCTCACCAGCTGCTTCTCTAGCATTTGGTCGTCAGGTTAGTTGTTGGCTCCAGACGGAAACAAGTACTGGAGATGAGCGATCAGTGCTGCAAGTAGCCTGCAGCTGCAGCTGCGTGTGAGATGTTGGTAGCTTTTAAAAGTAATACTTCCACCTCGTCATTTTTAGTCTTTAAATTGTTGTTTCTTTTTGTGATAGATACCTGGGAGAAACGGTATAAAAGGTTTCTATGGGTTCATAGTTTCAGAGCTTTAGTCCAACAGAGGCAAGGCAAACACTGTGGTGTGTCCTGCGGCCAGGGCCTCTGCTCACCTCGCCTCCTGGCGGTGAGGATGCAGGGAAGGTAGGAATGAGCCAGGGCCAAATACGCCTTTCAAAAACATACAACCAAAAGTGATTTATGGTCTAGGCATTTTCCATCCAGTGAACTAGACTGTTGAAATTAATTCAGCCGTTGATGTGATCAAGATTTTTAGGGTGAATTTGTAACAAAATTGTAAAACTAAAAGCTACTCCTTGGCACTCAGTGTTGCCACTGAGGAGTGCTAGATACTGCTTTTATTTTTGTTGTAATTTCAAGACTATATGAAGAAAAGGCTATTTTTCAAGTTAAAAGTGTTTCTTTAAAAACATAAGAATTTTGCCTTTCATTTTATTTGTTATTTTAAGTTACAGCATTTTTCTCTTCTTAGTTTAGCCACAGTTATCAGTATCATTTCACAAACTCAGTTTTTACTTTACAAATTGTTTTTCTCTCCTACATGGTTTACATAATGTTGTTGGTTTTTTTTTTTTTTTTACTTTATCATCTTTGGTTTTTAATTAGTGTTTTTGCATGACATTTCACCATTTTATCCCTGCAGATAACCCTCATGTTCAGTACTCTGCAGTGACCAGCTTTGTGTTTCTTCGTTTCTTTGCTGTAGCGATACTATCACCTCATACTTTTCATTTGCGACCTCATTATCCAGTAAGTGTTCGTTCTCTCAAATCTTTATTCCATTTTCTTTTATTTTTAGTAAAATGAAGAAAAAATAAACTACATTTACTGCTGTGCTAGGACATTTCACAAGTGATTAAGTGCTGATGAGTTGGTGTCCCTGCTGAGCAGGAGGGAGGTGCCCCAGGGTTTCCTCTGCTGTTCTCTCCGTGTGATTCCCATGACGCGGCGCCATTGTCCTTAGTTACAGGATGGTGGTGGTGGTTTGTCGTAGTGGTTTTTGCTGACTGTTGGCAGACCTTTTCCTGGCTTATTAAAACAATTTATTTTTTATTTTTATATTTTGAGGCAGAATCTTACTACATAGCCCAGATTGACCTTAACCTGCAATAGTATTTCTGCTTCAGACTTCAGAGTATAGGCACACCTGCTACACCCAAATTATGATAGTTTAATCATGGGAATATTTTTAAATGTCAGAAATCTGAAGAAAAATTAAATTCATTTCCAAACTGTATAGGAACCTAACTTAATTTAGTATCTTTATATTTTTGCTTTCTGTCCTCTTTAAGTTATATCAAAATATATGATTAAAGCATATAGTTTATTTCTGAAGTTCTACTCAGCTAAATTTAAATCTTTTGCATATATACTTCTTAATATTTTAAGGTTTACTTTTTAACTTTTTTCTACATAACCTATCCTTATTCATATGGGATATTTTAGTCATTCTTTAGCTTTTTTTATTCTAAATACTTTATACTCTTGATGCTTTAGGACCTGATTTGTGTAACAGATAATAAGAAACATTTGGTGATTACTTTATACTAAGCTTTGTTTTAATCACTTTATGTGTTTAACTCATTCAGGTCCCTAGTCACTGTAGGAGTAAATTATTTTGTTAGCCCATGTACAGGTAAGGAAATCACCATGCAGTAACTTCTCTAGGCTCACCTAAGACATTGTGATTGGATCCTACCCCAGTCTCCACAGCCTGTAGCAGACTAGTGTTGAGACACTTAGGACAGCCACTGGCAGTGCTTAGTGCTGGAGACGCTGCAGATCTTGATGTACTCTTGCTCTATCAGGTAATGCAGTGTAGGGAGGGCCTGTAGGCTTTCCAGCTGAACTGGATCTGAATGCCCATGCGTCCCTTGGATAGCCTCACAGTGTTGGCTGCGTAGAGCCACAGCAATGGCAGAAAATAGATGTTCTGTGTGACCTGTATCCTTTTGTTCATGGAGGGTATGTTAATTAAAACTATAAAGACCTGAGGCAGTGGAATCTTGCCAGCAAAATTTTGTACATAAACAGAACTCCCATTTCTAAACTTGTGACTTTGCCTTGTATTCAGACTTGGAATTCCTAGATCAAATGTTTAAATAAAATCCCTCTAACTACAAACACTTTTAGGTCACTTTTCATACAGTTTTATTATTCCAACTTTTCCATGTTTTCTTTTGATCCCTTTTTGTTGTATGTCCCTACCCCTGCCACCTCAGCGTTTCCAGCAGGTCTTCAACTGTAACCCTTCATTTTAAAGAATGTTTGAAGTAGCAGGAATAGAGAAAACACATAACATTATTTAGTATTGGTGATGTAGGGATAAGCATAGCTGCCTTCCATTAATCTAGAACTACTTGCATAAATTTAAAGGCAGCACTTAATTACAACCAAGTAAAAAAGTAGGAATAGATAATACTATACAAGCTGAGAATACAGAATAATCTCAGAAAACTGGGAGTAATGATGATATTGTCATGTATTGAAAGTTACAAATTCATTCAGGAGCAGAGCTGATCAGTTGTTACTAAGTTTTACATTTAGAAATTCTTTAAATTTTGAGAAACTAACTATAGAAACTAGTTTAGAGTAGACAAGAAAGAGTAGATTAAATAACAGGAAGCTAAATAATAACAAGGACACTGGATATGAGCTGTTCTTGCTAAAAGACAGATTCAAGGAGGTATGCATGTGCACATGCATGTGTAAACAAGTAACTGTTTTTGAAAACACTAGTTTCAAGATATGGAGGAGCTGGAGAGATGACTTAGAAGTTAAGAAGGCATACTGCTCTTGCAGAGAATACAAATTTAGTTCCCAGCCCCATGTTAGGCAGCTCATAGCCACCCATAACTCCAGCTCTAAGGGATCTAAACCTTCTGAATTCTCTGCACCTTCACGTTTGTGTGCACATGCCCACACACAGATACACATATGCACGTAAAAAAAAATACATTTTCTGTCTTAGGATTGTTATTGCTGTGAAGAGACAACATGACCATGGCAACTCTTAAAAAGTAAACCATTTAATTGGAGTAGTTTATGATGGGGAGCTTGACAGCATGCAGGCAGATGTAGTGCTAGAGCTGAGAATTTTACATCTTGACTCAGAGGCAACAGGAAGTCAACTGACTGTCACACTGAGGGAAGCTTGAACAAGAAGGACCTCAAAGCCCGCCCCCACAGTGACAAGCTTCCTCCAAAAAGGGTACACCTCCTAATAATGCCCCTCCCTTTGGGGGCCATTTTCTTTCAAACTACCACAATCTTTAAAAAAATTTATAAAATTTTAAAATATAAATACTGAGATAGACTAAGGACTGAGACTATATAGCTCAGTGGTAAGGCATTTACCAAACCTTTATGAGACCCTACATCCAATGTCTAGTGCCTCCAGAAGAATGAAAGAAAGGAAACCTTTACTTGAATTGCCTTGGCAATTATTTTTTTTCTTTTAAAATTACAGATTATATGAACACTGACCTGGTAAACCACTGTTGAAGTTTCATAAAGGAAAAAATGAACTATTTTCATTATACATATCTCTTATTCTCTCCTTGATAACCCCTTTTAAGACCCTCCCAAGACCTTCTTTAACCTGTTAATTTTATTTTATGCCCCTTATATATATCTGTAATATCCTGTGCACTCTGTCATGGCACTTTTATATTCTGTTCTAATAATATCTGTGCATAACCTTTGCACGTAGACTGCCAGTACCTCAGGGGCAATGTGGGACCTTTTCCATATATGTGTACCCAAAGCTTCCGGCAGTTTCTAGGACAGTCACAAGCTCAGTGAGTGTTTAATTAATGAAGATGGTAGTTCAGAGAAGAAGCTCATCAAGTTGAGTCTTTTTTTAAACAGGATTCATGATTTAAATACGGAGGCTGGGGGGGGAGGGGATGTTTTGCTGCCTCCAGATCAGACTTCCATAGGATTCAGAAGAACATCTTTAGAAAAGGTAATGAGTACAGAACCGCTGCTCTTTTAAAATGTTATAGCAATATTTTATAGACCAAATACAGTCAGATGGTACCAGTTCCGTAAGTTGACATAAGAGGAAAAAAAGAGATGCATGCTAAGTTATTTTGAATTGAAAAATTCAACATTTAGTTGAATTTAGGAAATGTTACATAGTGTGTACTGGATGTTAGGTGCTGAGACCCTAGGTATCGTATACAGTGATGGAGAATGTTGTCGCAGTCTCTGTGTAACCAGTACCAGGAGCTCAGAGCAGCTGAGCGACATGATTGTAGAATAGTAGCCATGGCTATGTGGGTCTAAAGCTTGTGGTGGTCTGGAATTCAATAAAGTGTGCATTATTTCCTTTTGATAGTTCAAGAAAAAATGACCTATAAAACTGAATTTAAAAGCCAAATTTAAGCTGGGTGGTGGTGGTGCACGCCTTTAATCCCAGCTCTTAGGAGGCAGATGAGTTAGAGGCCAGCCTGGTGTACTCAGAAAAACCCTGTTTCAAAACACCAAAAAAAAAAAAAAAATTGAACAGTCAATTCTTGTAAAATTCATTTCAAATTTAATTTTACCGTAACTTTTAAATAGCCAGGCAGTGGTGGCACACGCCTTTAATCCCAGCACTCAAGAGGCAGAGGCAGGCGAATCTCTGTGAGTTCGAGGCCAGCCTGGTCTACAAGAGCTAGTTCTTGGACAGCTAGGACTGTTAAACAGAGAAACCCTGTCTCGGGGAAAAAAAAAAAAAACCACAAAACTTTTAAAGAATGTTATGTAGTAGGAGCGTCTTACAGATAGAATGGAATTTTGGATGCTCCATCTAAAATATTTTCTGGATAGCTATACTTTGTAACTTTTTCCAAACATATTATATTGATCATATACCAGATATTTATTACTTCTTCAGATTTCTTCATGTCTTGGTTGTTTCTTCCCCACAATGTTGATTGCCTATTTTCAATGTTGGGTGGGATCCTGGTAACTAGAACAGTCTATCTCCTTACCTTAACTTTCCTACAACAGTCTATCTCCTTACCTTAACTTTCCTACAACAGTCTATCTCCTTACCTTAACTTTCCTAGTTATGTTTCTTTGATAATATAGTTTACTGTGGTAGGATAGTTGGTTATACAGAAATGGAGATTAGTAAGAGTCTATCGGGCTGTACACATGAGAGCAGATCAAGTCACTAAATTAAATGTAAATTATACCTCAGTTTAAAAGGAAACGATCATAGGGCAGTGGTGGCACACACCTTTAATCCCAGCACCTGAGAGGCAAGCAGACCTCTGAGGCTAGCCTGGTCTACAGAGCTACACAGAACTTTGTGTAGCTTTCTTTAAAAACCAAAAAAGAAAAAGAAAGGAAAAAAAAAAAAGAGATCAAGAATTCGTGGGAGAACTCTGTTCTTGTTTGTTTACTTCTGTCAGGTAGATAGACCTGAATGGTCACGTGAAACCCAAACAGTTACCCTGTGGTAAAATCCTATGTCAGCCTAGGATGGATTTGGATTCTCCCTCCACCCCCAGTAGTGGAAACAGTTGATGGCAAAGGCCATTTATGTCGTTCAGATATGCTTAGCAGTAGATTGTGCACAGAAAGTTGGAAACACCTATTTTAAGTTATATGGTAGAAAAAGTAAATAACGTTGATCTTCCAAAAATGAATAAAAATTATAGTGTGATCCAGTCTTATAGACCATATAAAAACCTTTAGATGCAGTTGATTAAATTGTGTCTTTCAAAGGGAACAAGTCAAGTCATTAAATCTTTAATTTGTCTTTATTGTTTTAATGGTACTGAAGATGGAATCTAAGGCCTCTCTCACTGAGCTGTACCCCCAGCCCTCGTTTTACTTTTTGAGACAAGGCGATCACATTAAGTTGCTTAGACTGAACTTCTCTTCGCTTTGTAGCTTAAACAGGCCTGGAGTTCGTGATCTTCCTGTCTGAGCCTCCCAAATAGTTGGGATCACAGACTTCCACCACCATCTTCTGTAGTCTCCTAACCCTACGTTCAGTAAGCTATCCTAGGTTTGGCCTCATTTGAACCTCATTCATTATCCAGGTTTGAATTTTTTAACTACTATTTTAGAGCCATATAGTCCATTTACTTCATTCTGCTTTTTATATAAATTCTACTTCTTGAAAAAGTAACAAGAATTTTGGTCATTTTTCTAGGATACACAGACAATTAGAACGTTAACTCTCATCTCAAAAACCATACAGACTTTGGGAAACTGGGAAACTCTATCCAGAAGAAAGGTGAGTCTATAATATTTTTCCTTCTTTCATATTTAATAAATTTTATTATACTATAAGATTCCTTCACTTACCTCCTTCCATATTTAAGATTAAACTGAAGAGAATACATATTCAGATGCAGAAACTGTTAGTGAGTGTTCTGTGTATTAGAGGAGATGGTGGTACTTAACCTGATGTGTACAAGATAGGGAGAGAACACTTAGGAAGAAAAGGCACAGGCAGTGTTGAGTTACCTGATGGTCCATGCCATAGTCACCTGACAGCTTTGAAAGAAGACTTCAGCTCCAAGCTGAATAACTAATGGAAGTATGTGATTAGCTTGATCCTTCGCTTCAAAATATAGTCCTGTCATTGCCTGGTGCTGCTTCAGGGCTTTATGAACATCTCCCCTCATGAAGCTTTTTAACTCAAGGAATGTTGATGCAGCCTTAGTATACAGATACATAAAATTAATACAGCAAATCAAACATTTACTGATAATAACTTATTTTAGCATTTTGAAATGCCCAGCATCCAGTGCTGAGGAGAATATTTCTGTCATTTGCTTCTAAAACTGCTATCCTGAGTTTTTACTTAGTTTGAGATCCACAAGAAAAAAGGCCAAACAGTGAGTACCATGTGTTCATGGCTGTGTCAGGAGCTTTGAGGGACCTTCGTTGCTCCTGTCCCTTTTTCATCAAGAGTATTCAGCAAAGAGGAGATAAAAGCCATGGTCTGATTGATAAGAGTGACTGTGGTCACTGGCTCTACAAAAGAATAGTCTTTGCTGACACCCAGCACCTGGCCCAGCATGAGGTGCCTTTGGTTTTCAGCAGCTGGAAACAATAGAATTGAATCAAGCCTGGTCACATTCAGGGAGGGGCTGAACATAATGCACCCCATGCAGTGTGGGGAAGGCTAAAGACTTGACCTGGAACTTTCTGAGTTCATTGACTTACTGGTGGGGGGTGGGGGTAGAGGTCTGTCCCTTGGTGGAGAATACTCTGCAAGTACAGCTTCCTTCTCCAGGAAGTTTACTGCTGGAGACTACAGAGGCTTTCATGGAGACTAGCTAACCCCTTCCTTTTGTGCCACACATAATGAAGGCTAGACTTAGTTTACTGGTTAGTTAGTAGGTGGGAAGTTGTATTTGGAAGTTTCTAGTTTTAGATGAAGGTCAGTCACTCCTAAACACTAGTACTTGGGATCAGAAGAAGGTTTTACCATTTTCAGAAGTCTGAGGCACTAGAGTTCTTGACATGGCCATGCTCTTGTCAGTAGTACACATTCACACAGTTTCATCTCTCCACAGTACAGTATGTTTAAGTTCCAGGTTATGTAGGGAAACCGACTGGAGTCATTTGTGATACACATATCTGGGCCCATTCCTGTTTGGCTGGTGACATGGGAGCAGCCCCTGAGACCCAAGCCTCACTCCTACATTAGTGCCTTCCCTTTTCTCTGTCCCTCATCTCTGAGGGTTTTGTTTTTCCCTGCCTGCTTTCTTCCTTTCCCATGAAACTGGACATTGAAGGACTGGGCTATAGCTCAGTGGTAGAACCCTTACTTACCTCTTCTACGTCAGACCTTAGGTTCAATCCCCACAATGTTTTGCAGTAATCAGAGGGCCAAGAATTGCCACAAAGATCACACCAAACAGCAGACCTCACAGGAGAGAAAGAGAGCAGGCCATGTAGTACAGCCTAGGACTGGGGGGCAGGAGATATAAACATATAGCGGTGCTGTGGAAATTGATATGCCGCCTTGGCCTTTAGTGATGATGTAGTGTTGGCACTGAGTCATTAAAGGCAGGGAGGACAGGTAACGTTAAATGTGAACTCCACACTTGAGTCTTTAAAGGGTTTCTAAGTGTACAGTGTAATAGTGTTTTACCACCAACTGCCTTTGTTCCTAGTTACTATAACAAGAATTTGATGATAGAAGTTAATAATTTTGTTTAGCCAAACCATTAATTTTATTTGCTTTTGTTTTATGTAATCAAGTAAAATTCAAATGACATGCAGGGGTAAGAAATAATGCATGGTTATTTGGACCAGAGGAAAATGCCGTAGGAGACCAACAAATGTTTTTAGTTGAGGCTAGTCTGAAAACTCTTATTAGAGCAATATATTCATTTCTCAGATTCATTTTTTAATTTCTGATATGCATATTTGGGTATTTTTTAATGTGATACGCTTTTTTTCTTCAGCTTTACTTAGTTGAGAATCTAGGACTAGCTAAAACAGCACCTACATTATTTTTACAGAGTGGGTTGAAGCGTTTCCATTCTAGTCAGAATAGTCAGCACTTTTAAAACATTTGAATTCAGAGATTGCACTTCTTTCAGGCTGTTATCAATTGGGTATTGTATAGTTTTTATAATTTTGATTGAAACCCTTTAACAACCCTTTGTAAATTTTAACTCACTTTAGTTGATTTTTCAGTACTGTTTACATAGCAATTGATTTTTATGAATATTGTAGAAGAAATGTGCTGTATTTTGATAAAATTCACTTGTTTGTGTTGTAATCTCTAAAACAAAGAATTACAAACAGCGTCTTTAATATATAAAAAAAGGCAGGAGGAGCTTGGTTCTGGAATGTGGGTAGTTCCTACCATTTCTCCCTTTTGTTTGTTCTATAAGACAAATAGGAAGGGAGGCTGGTGAGGTGGGAGTGAGGCCAGGCTCTTCAGACTGCTTCCTGTTCTCTGCGTGCTTGACAGCTTTGGGAACTTAAGAAGGCTAGAATGCGAGAAACACGTTGTTTCACTGGCTGTCCAGTCTCTGCAGGGCCGTCTGGGGCTGGGACCTGCACGCTGCATTGGAGCAATTTATAGTCTTTAAGCGATTGGAAGCCTGCCGAAACAGGTATATTAGGGACAGAAGGTAAAATTAAGGAGTTTAGGGGAAAAAAAATTTTTTAGATTTACATTTGAAGCTTTTAGGCCCATGGAAAGTGTGGGAGATCTCACCCTCAAGAATAAGCAGAATAGGCAGGAGGGGAAACAGGCAGTTTTGATTGGTAGTACTTATCTGGAGTCCAGTGGATTCAAGTCAATTCCCTGAAGTTTACAAGAATTTTTTTTTTTTTTTTTGGTTTTTTCAAGACAGGGTTTTTCTGTGTAACAGCCCTGACTGTACTAGAACTCGTTCTGTAGACCAGGCTAGCCTCGAACTTTCAGAGATCCTCCTGCCTCTGCCTCGCGAGTGCTGGGATTAAAGGCGTGCACTACCACTGCCCAGCATACAAGAACTTTTTAAAATCTTATATAAAAAGAAAAGTTAGCTATGTTGCATTACCACTTAAAATGTACTGAAATCTACATTGTAGGAATGGTGGTAGACTCATGCTTTGAGTCATGGTAGAATCTTGGGAACCCAAGGATGATTCTAGGTTGAAAGGATTAACAGTTTCCAGAGGGCTGGATATATAGATTGGACAGAGATGCTTTTAGCACAGTGAGAAACACTTTTACATCTATAATTAGAAAACAACCAAAACAAGTTTAAAAACTTGAGCTTGAGCTTGTAACTGTGATAATAGTAGTCAGTGCTAACCAGAGCTAACAGTAGCTTATCAGAACTCCAGTGGTTAATGTTAAAACTCTGAATTTTTAAAGTCTTAATATAACAGTAGCATATAGAGGGAAATAAATCTGAAACATTTTTCATTTTTACATAAACCGTAAATCACTTTTTTATACAAATTGCATTTCCACACCCTAAGCACTTTCTTATGCCTTTATAACTTGCATTTACATATCTTAAAAACATGTTTTAGACCTTTACAGCTTAAGCTTTCATGTCCTCAGGCCTTACATAAGCTTTGCACCTTTTTCTATCCAGTCATTTCCCATGAACAGTCATTGTAAAGCAAGGTTCTTTAAATAAAGGAATAGTAAGAAGTTACATTGAATCTGTTCTGTGAGTCTGGTTGTAAGGTCAACTGTGTCTAGACCTCCTAGACCTCCTAATAGATCTAGGAAAGTGAGGCCTGAAGCTTGATTTTTGCATATGAAGAGAACTGAGAAGGCAGCTGAAGCCTTGGTTGCTGCTGTTAACATCAGCGATGTGAGAAGGATAACTTCCACCAGAGTAAGCAGGAAGTATAATCAGTTCCCAGATTTTTTAAAAATGGCAGTCTTGCTGCCTGGACAGTCACCTAGGCTCCTCCGTGGTAGTCTTGAGTCCACTGGGGCAGAGGTCCCAGGGCAGTGTTGGTCTTAGGCTTCCAGGCTCAGAAGACCCAACAGATTTTCCTGTGGAAGAGGAGTTTGGGGGACTGACTGGTCTGGTTTATCCAGGCAAAGCAGGGCAGCCAACTCTCCAGTGTCCTGCTTGTTCATAGTTCGAATGGGGGAGGTCTGGCAGCAGGCAAGGTGAAGGATAGTTTTTCACTCAGAGGTCAGTTTTGCCACAGTTAAAACAAGCTCCAGGTGGTCTGCTGTGCCCCATCATCTTTGGAGATCTTAGGGCTGCTGCCAGGAACTGGCACTTCTCTTTATCACTGGAAGCTTTTGCTATCATTTTCTGCTCCTCCCTTCCATTAAATACCTTAAATGTCATATTCAGTAGATCTCTGAAAAGTTTTGAGGACCATTATCTGTTAAATATATCTAAACTAAATAAATTTGCTTGTTTTTAGTTACTAGTTTTAGGCTTAACTTTGAAAACATATACAGGAGACTAAAGTTCATTCCTGTAATTAATTGCATTAGTACTTAGCATGACTGTAAGTGTAGTTTTGAACACATTAAAGAATTTGATCATTTTTAAGGTAACTGACTGTTAATTTGCATGTCTTGGTTATCTTTAACAGTTTACAATAAGTCAGTATCTTTTATAAGATTAGGATTTTTTACAGCCTTTCCCTGTTAAGTTTGAGCCTTAAAATTTGAGTTGAAATTTTAATTGAAGATCCTTTAGCATCAAAATAAACAATAAATGCAGTAAACTTTCCTTTTAAAGTACACCATTATAGAGTATTACAGTTTCTTGTAAAATAGCTACAGTTTTACAA